GTGGCAAACCTATTTTAAAACACGTGACTGTAAAAATTTTATTGCATTTTTGATTGTGAATTTTTTCCCAAATCTGTTGCTGTGGCGCAGAAAGTTGTAGGGACTAGGTGTCCTGCACCATACAACACATGATCACGTACCCTTTTTGATTGTAATATATATAAAAAATTCTCTTGCTACTCACAAACTCTCTAAACTGCAACACCATAGCTTTGATGGCAGGAATTAAAGTCAGCTCATATTTTATCAATATATCACCTGAAAAATGGAAAATTTCCGAGTTTTACAAGTATCGCCAGCAAGGAAATGACTTTACCAGCTCGTTTTGGAAGGAAGCTTTTATACTTAGGAGATCTCTCAATTATCTTATGAAAGGAGACTCATCAGAAGTCAAGAATTATGCTACTCTATTGGATAAAAATTTCAAGGCACGTAATGTTTGTTTCTGAGGGCCTTAAAAATGGTTTAGAGCACTCTCTACGACTAGAAGAGGTCTTCGTGCCATCTCTTTGATGATCTTCATGTTCGTCATAGAACTTTTATGGAGGTGATAAACTCACATAGCTATGGAGAATATCTTCGCGCTATTCTCCTGATGATCTTTGTGTTCGCTGTGGTCCACATATAATATTAACATTAAAAGACCTCTTAATTTGTGGCCAAGGCTAATAATCTTCTATTTGTGTATTGAAAGGGTCATCGTACAAGTGATATGGATTCAAAGTTATTCTGGGACAAGATCGAGTTACAATTAGATTTTCATGCTGAAATTGAAATGAGAGAGAGGGAGATGCAGTTAGCCGAGGTTAGCAATATTTTCTGTTATTTGATTCAAAGAGGTTATATACATAACTGTTAACTGCATCATTTCTCCTACAGGTTGGGACAGCAACTGGCATTATGAAAAGGATTGATGGAGGAGCTCTGTTATGGATAAAATTTTGCATGATACTGACTAAGACGGTGTACTCATTATTGTATTCTCTATATTATTAAGAATGAATGTTTCATTCAGACTGATGAATGGGTCCCAACGAAATGGAAAAAAATGGATTATTTTTCAGTCACTCCTCTCCAACGTGAACAGGACCAACCACCACATCCTCCTCCAGATCAAATCTATTCGTTAGGTGCTTTGTCAAATGCCTTCGTCCCCCCTTAGTAATTATATTCTAATTCGCAATAATGTCTTTTATAAGCCTTTTTGACATGTCATAACACAAGGATGAACCATAACAGTGCGATAATGAAGAATCACATGTTCAAGAGTTCTCGGATTCGAATACATGGTGAGTCTTGGTATAACAGATATGTTTGTTCCAGGAAATTTATCCGCTATACCGAGTCATCTGTAATACCGAGATATCCACAAAAAATTGAATTTTTGATTAAATCATGTGATACATGTTGCGTAAATAATTTTATTTTTAAATAATATGAATGCAAATAACAATGATGGTAATAAAAATACATTTGGTAAAGTTTTTTAAAAAAAAACCATTCATTCACTTAAAACGTTGACATTATAATAGTCTTCCATTATTGTTTGCACTTGTTCTTGAGAATTTTTGCAAGAAATTTCACTTTTAATCTTTTGACATTTCTAATTACTTGAAAATCAACATCTAAAATTTTTTTGCTGTACATATTTAAGTATAGTTTCCGAAGCTTTTATAGCCTCCATATTAATGATCATCAGCTCAGGTTCATTTGTTTCATTTGTTTCATCGTCATCAACTTCACTTTGTCCTTTTACAATATTTACGATTTTAGCATATAAGGAAATAAAAGAAAATGACATATTGATAGTGTCATTGCCAAGAAATAGCTAGAAATATGTTAGATTAAATTGTGGATGTATTGCTGATTATTACAATTTATTTCTGATTTTTTTACATTCTTAATATTAATATTTAATAATTGCGCGTCATTACTCATATTAGCCCAAAATAGTAAAGATCATCGTTATACGTAATATCGAGAAAAATTTATTATAAGTGACATATTAATATTAATATATGAATTTTAAAAAATATCCGGTAAACCGAATTATATGAAAAATCCGTTAAATCCGTTAAACTGAGATAAAATTGTTATAGAAAAATTTGGTTTTGAAAATTTATCCGCTAAACCCCCAAATCCGCTATACCGAAACTTTTGATATTAATATTAAATGATTGTGATTTTAATCCCTGAAATTCTTGGTAATACCAATGTTCACTTTGCCCCGGTTTTGTTACAGTCTCATATATGAATTAATCGACAAAGAGATTCTAATTATTTATTCTAGAATCGATTTCCAAATTTGGACCAGGAAAAACATTACATCATAAAAAAAAATTTGCAGGGATTCAAATTTTAGTATATAAATTGAAATAAATAAATAAATATTTTTATTCAAAATTAGTTTTGAAGGGTAAAAAAGATGAAATGGAAGAGCAGAATGCAGATTTAGAAAAAGTAAATTATTTTATAATCAAATGCTTTTTTTTCCTCCTACTGTACTCGATTTCAAATACTGACACTTCGTGTAACTAGCTGCTAAATTTTTTTTGATCTCTGTGTCATCATGTTATACTTTGTTGATTTGTAATTTGTTGTTTTGTTGCTATATATATATATATATGTATATGTATAAAAAGATACTTCTTAGTTTTCTTTCTTTTTCTTTTTAACTATCCATCAAATTCATCAAAGTCATGATAGAGCAAATAGCCAAAAGCTCATCAACTAAATCAAAAAAGGATCGTATTTATACAAATTTGGAAACTTTAAAATTGAATGTACAAAAGTTAGACTCAATGACGACAACACCATCAAAAGTCAATAATAATAATACCGCAATAACTACTCCAATTGACATAAATACAGAGAATGCGCTACAACAAACACTGTTGTCTTCTAATATAACTTCAAACGATTCATCGGCGAATCTTGATATCATGGATAAAAACGATCATAATGATTCTTTTTCATCATCATCATCATCGTCGTCGTCGTCGTCGTCAGCTTCATCATTCGGTGATCAAAAGAAAATGGGATCACAAGTTCTGCCAAAAATCATAACAATTTTTGATCATCAGAATCAGAATCATCAACATCATCACCATCATAATCAACAACATCAAAAACATCAACAAAACATATCGAGAGCCTCAACATCTGATTCAATTCTATCAAAAAAGTCTCAACATAGCAGAGTAGCGTCCAATGATGATCCACTAACAGACTTACCCAGTCCTGCCACTTCTTTAATGGATTTTCCAACTTCCCATCATTTATCGATACATAAAATAAGTCCTTCAAGTCTAACTAATGACCCAAATACCTCTGCAAACACTACTATCAATAGTAATAACAACGATAATAACATTTATGACAATGACAATGATAATAATGTTTTGGCGTCGGTTGATTTACAAAGTCATCTTATGGATGATCGATTTTTGCAATCTAGATTATTAAAATTAGGTTTAAAATCAACCGAATTAATTGGTCATTACGCTATACAAAAAACAATTGGCGAAGGTAGCTTTTCTAAAGTTAAATTGGCAATTGATTTAAGTAATTGTCAAAAGGTTGCTATAAAGATCATTGGGATTAAAGGTATTCAAGATAGTGAAAGAGTAAAATCTAGTGTTTTAAGAGAAGTTGAAATGTTAAAGGTTAGATTTATTTAATATATTTTAAAATCAAAAGATTAATTATTTTAATTAATTAATTAGTTAATAATAACTTCTCGTTTGTAGTTCATTAATCATCCGAACATTGTAAGATTATTTGATGTAGTAGATATTTCAACTCACTTTTGTTTAATATTAGAATATATTCCTGGTGGAGAATTATTTGATTATGTCAATGATTATTATGAAGAGACAACTGAACAAGATTCAAAACAAATTTTCTTACAATTAGTTGACATTGTGAAATATCTACATGATAATAACATTGTTCATAGAGATCTAAAATTGGAAAATATTTTATTAGATTATCCTAATGAAAATAACCATAATAATGACAATAACAATACTAGCAGTCATAGTAGTAATAATATTAATGATAACACCAATAACAATAACAACAAGGATGTAGATTCCAACAAAAAAGATCTATTAAAATCCAATCCAATTATAAAGTTAACTGATTTCGGATTAGCTAAATTTGTTGATCCAACAAATCCTTTATTATCAACAAGATGTGGATCTGAAGAATATGCTGCGCCTGAACTTATATCTGGTAAATCACCATATGATGGTAAGAAAACAGATATATGGTCATTGGGCATTATATTATATAGTTTATTGGTTGGTTATTTGCCATTTAATTTTGATGGGCCAAGAAAACAATTTTTACATAAAATTATCAAAGCAGAATTTGATTTTCCTAAAACTTCCATGGAAGGTGAACGTGGTAGAAGAGGTACAATTAGTAATGAGGCAAAAGATTTAATTAAAAAAATATTAATGTCTGATCCTGATAAACGTTTTACTTTGGAAGAAATTAGTAATCATGAATGGTTAAAATAATAAAAATTAAAAAATTAAACAATATTATTTATTGTTTAATGATCTCATTAAAATATTATATTTATTATTTATTGAACTTTTAAAAATTTTATTATATATAGTTTGTATATATATATATATATATATATATATATATATATATCTTTGGGACTTTTAGTAAATAAAAAAAATTTTTTTATACAAAATCTTAATAAATATGTTGTTTATTTTCAAACTAACGTTCATTTTAAGTAAACAGGTACACCATAAATTACAGGTGCTGCCCCGATCAAAAATTTTAATCTACACTCTTTTCTTGCGACTGAAACAGCTTTAACTAACGATACATCAATTTTTTTTGTATCATTCCCAATTACATTATCTAATTCATGATTTGGTTTTAAATTCCATTCATGAAATAAAGCTTTACTAAACCTATCGATATCTTTATCAGTCACATCCCATAGGTTCGCAACCAACGCAGGACTATTATTTATATATTATATACATTAACATCAGAAAACAATATGAAAATGATAAAAACAAAACTATTAAGAATAATTGTAATAACTAACCATCCTGCAATCAAATAATTAAGTGATGATCCGAAAGGATCAAATTCGCCTTCTAATTTCAAAGTACCACTACTACAACCCATCAATAAAGCCACAGCACAATTATCTATTTGTTTTACAATACTTCTTTTAATATATTGTTCTCCAGTTCCATGCCCAATGTAACTACAATTAAAATAATAGTTATTAAAAAAAAATGTATTAATATTAAATCACCATGAAAAAGAATCCTCACTTACATATAAAGATCATTGTTACTCAACGCATTTTTACATTCTTGTTCAGATGGTTGACGACAAATCACACCATTCCATCCTTCGAAACTAAAAACAATATCATCATAAAATAAATAATTATGTTATTATTTTTTTTTAAATATAATATTTATGTATAAATAAACCTTTTAACAAAATCTTCAAATTTTTTTTGTGTATTCTCTAAATCTTGACTCGGATTAAGAATGTAAAACGTTTTTTGTGGATCAATAAAATATTTTTCATTGTTACTTGAATTATTAATATTTTGACGTTTCATTGACAGAATTCGATCTCTTAAAAATGAAATTGAGGGTAATCGAGAAACTGATTGATTTCGTAAACAAGGAAAACTTTCCCATGGCAACATTTGAACATACTTGTCCAAAATTAAAATAACATGCTGATCATCAGATTTTGAATCATTAAAATTTGCATTAACACTTAGTGCATTTATTATATCAACAGTAAGCTATTAATTTATAAAATCATAAATTAATATACATTTCATTAAAATATAAATATTATGCTTGATAATAACAAACCTGATCCCAATCAACCTCGTCATATCCGATTTGTTGATCATTATTTTTGTTATATATGTCAACCAGAAAATAAATAATATCTTGAATATCTCGATCTGTTGCATTTGGTCCTAAACGAAGAAAAGATCTATACAATTCTACATGAAGATCAATTTTCTTTTTTGTTGATTGTTTACCAAAAGTTTGACTACATATTTCATTTTTTAGTGCTAATTTATCCATCTTTTCTTTGAAATTAGCAAGTCGTTTAGGATCATTGTCTGTATCTGCCATTAATATGCCCTAATAACATATATATATTCAAATCCAAGATATTCTTTCATTTTAATTAAAAAAAACAAAATAAATATATATAAAATACCTTAAAGCCGCCTAACCAACAATCCTCGATATTTTCAAGTAAGGTTTTCATTCTATCATCCAATGCCTTTCTTTCATTCCACCACTGCGACTTTTCTTGTTTATTCATACATTTTTTATCAAATTTCATGCTCTGATCACATAAATCCATGATTTGATTAAATTTTCTAATCACGTCATTATACAAAAATCCACCACATTCTCCAGATTGTCGTTTCAAAGGCAATCGTAACAATAATGGTGATGTTTTTTGACAAAAGCGACAAATATATAGCTCATTATTTTCAATATCGACAGTAATTGAACACACAGTCCATTGAGAAGGTATAATGTCTATAAATTCTCTTTGAAATTGATGATATGTTAATGATGATTCTTCTTTGTATCTCTTCAATAAATCTTTTAAAAATTTTTGATATGATGTTTCCTTATCATGTAAATTATTATTATTTTCATCCTTATTATTATATTGAAATTCATTGGATTTATTTGACATTGAAACTGCTTGAGGCCATCTTTCATTATCATTATATTTTAAAGGTAATTTTATTGCTTTCTCGTTCAAGATTGTAATAAACTCCCTTTTAACAGTAAGTGCTTTAGTCATTTCTGTGATATTTGAAAAATTGGATGATAATGAATATCCAATAGTAATAAATATATATAAACGAAATATCAATGAAATTAATTACCCAAATAATATGCACATTTGGTCGCAATTTCTAATTGATCAGAAAATTTGTTATAGCAGTAAGCATTTAACAAATTTGCCTTAACAATACATAGGGAAGCTTCTTGTAACAAATGTGTAGGTCCGCATTCATATATTAGATCATAAACTTTTACCAAATAATCGATTGCTTTATTAATCTCCTCTAAAAAATTATCTGGAAAATAATTTTGATTGATATTATGTTGTTTTTTATTTGAATTTTTTCCAAATGATGGTAAAGAGAGTACTATATATACATGCATGCATTTATATAGAAGGGAAATTAAAAGTCTATTTTATTAATTAATTAATTAAAAAAAAAAAAAAAATTACCGGAATCTTGTATATTATCAAAAATCATTTGGTTATTAATCTTTAATTTATTATTAATTTCCATTAATTTAACTTTGCCTAATAAATATTGATACTCTGCCTATTTATAAATAATAAAATAATTTATAATCAAATAAAGATTATATTTAAAAACAGATTATATACATAATATGTACGCAACATGCCTTCTCTAGACAAGGTTGATTTAAAAACCTTCCATTTTCTATCAATCTCAAGCCTTTTTCAAATTCCCCATATTTACTCAACAATAAGCCTAGAACAAATAATTAGTTAATTAGAAATTAATTACTAAAATAAATATTTGTTAATTATTTAATAATCTGAAAAGCGAACAACCTTGATGTCGAAACAATCTTGCTTTTAAGTATTCAAGTGAAAAACATTCATATTGGACTGTTCCTATAAATCACGGATCAACTATTTTAAATAAAATAAATAAAATCGCATAAATAATAATAAAGGCAGATAAAATGAATACCTTCACTATCATTTTTAGATTTTGGTGTCATAGAAATTAAAATTTTGTTGCTGGATGTTTGTAATAAGAGAAATAATATAGTATGTGGATAAGAATAAGTAATTTAATAAATTGTAAAAACAATAATATTATCATCACTATTATTATCAGAGAAATATAACTAATAAACCTTATGTCAAAGGGTTCTATATTGGAAATATATTCCTTCTCCATTATATTCTTCAAAATATGACTTGCATCATTATAATATTCAAGTGCCAGATTATAACAATGTATTTGATGGTTGGAATCATCCTCTTGATATTTATAATTGCCTTCATGATATTTAAAATCACCAAAAATCAATTTTGCTAAAACTTCTTCTTTAGGATATATTTCCGCCTTTTTTTTACAAAAAAAAAAAAAAAAAAGAATTAAAAATTTTGCACTGATAAATTTATAAAATATTTATATTTCATATAAATGTGATTTATTGTCTACTTTATTTTGATACTCTATAGCCTCATTTAAGTTTTCTTCGCTTTTTTTCCAAAATTGTCTGTGATATTCCAGCTCAGCAAGGTTTAATAAAAAACAACTCATAGCTGTGCAGGCTTTTGTTTCTTTAATCAACAGCATTCCTTCTTTGAAGCAACAATCAGCTTCCTTTGGACATCCACGTAAAATATACAGACTCCCAAGATGACGGTAGCATTCAATTAATATCTATATAAATATACATACATATATATAATCATAATTTGTATTAAATCAAACAATTTGTAAATAGATATCAATTTAGGAGAACCTTAGATAGGCGCCATTGCCGGCTTTGTGCAGATGGTGATGGTGATAATATTCCTTGAAAGGAACTTTGGCCATGAAAGACATTAATTGCATTAATATGCCTAATCATCCTATTAAGAATTCTAATAGCCTGTTTACAATTTAAGATTGCATCTTCCAAGAAACCCTTTATCAAAATATATAAATATATTAAGAAAAATATGTTGCAAAAAATTTTTAATTTTGAAAGATTTACCAGACATATTGAGATGTATGATCGTGTCAAAAATGCATCTGCCAGTAACAACTGCTCGATTTTTCGATTTTTAGGATTTTTAGCTAGGGATCTTGCATTATCAAAAATCAAGCAACTGAATTATTATAATTTAAAATATATTAAAAAGAAAATTTCTTCTAGCTTATATATTCATTATTATCATTTTTTTTATTAGAAAACATGTACCTTTCATTTAAATTGCCAATTATGCATAAATAATAACTATAACCTAACATCCATGTCAATTTAGCTT